CGAACATCTTTTTTCTAAAATATTTTGCATTGTTCCTGTTCCTTTTCCCATCTTCTGTCTCCAGGCTTTGAGCATTTACCAGAACAAAGATTTGATTACAATCTACCAAGGAGAGCACGAGAGTCCAAATGACTTTGACACAGTCCTGCTTAAAACACTCGTGGGAGGTATGTATAAGTAGACATTAATTTTACAACATAGCAGCAACATGCACTTTTAGTCCTTATTTTGATTAATTTTTGTCGTGTTTGTGTTTTTCAGCAAGTAAGCAGCAATCATCAGTTGATGCCAGCCCTTATAGTGATGAGCTGAAACTAGCAGTAACGTGGAACAGGGTTGACATTGCCAAGAGTGAACTCTTCATTGGAGACATCCAGTGGAAGGTGAGGAGGGAAAAAGACATCACACTGAATGGAAATACTCTGAAGTACATTGTGCAGTTTATTATACCACTTCTGACAGATACAGTTTACCTATGATTTACAGAATACTTGGCTTAAAGTATTAACCTATCCTAAAACGTGATCTTTTTCCTCCAATTAAACAGTACGAAGATTTGGAGGACTCAATGACAGATGCGTTGATCAATGACAAGCCCCAGTTTGTTCGGCTTTTCACTGAGAATGGCTTGAATATCCTGGAGTACCTAACTTATGGCAGGCTGGAAACCCTCTATCGCTCTGTGCCAGATGGGACCTTGCTCTATCAGCTACTACAACAGTGCCTAGCAGAGCGGCTGGCAATAGTGGAGCGTCACTCACCATCAGAAAAACAGAATTCATCCTCAAAAATGGTGAAAGATAAGAATCAAAGTGGACCAGTGAAGGAGGTCACCCTTTTTGAGGTGAGTTTTCTAATCAATGAGATTCTGTCCTTTTTTCATTAATTTTTCTCAATGATTCATTAAATTCATTATGAATGTGAAGACAACCTGATACTGTTGTGCTTATTGTCCCACCCACTGTTTCCTCAGGTGTCAGGGGTCCTGGAGCTGTTAATGGGTGATGTCTGCCAGCCTTTATACTATAAAGCTTTGGGCTTAGAGTTCACTTCATCCAAAAGGACGTCTCTGAGGGTACTTTGAACCTTTCAGAATAAACACACAGTGTACTTGTGCTGACTGCATTTCTATTTTTATGGTTAACATGACA